CATACATAATTCTAGTCTACATTTAAAGACATAAAAAGATAATTTAGCAGTTAAACATAATGTCTGAAAATCATAACTATTTTTGTATATTTTAGGAAAGAGTCTACAGGGTGTTCAGGGTCTCACTATTAGATGAGACTCATAGTGATTCTTCTTTTTACAGCCTCCCAAGTGCTGGGATTACAGACGTGCACCACCACGCCCAGTCTCAATCACTGTCAGCGAGCCATGGGGTGGAGGAGGGGGATGGCACTGCAGTTAAAATAATAAATTTTGGAAACTAAAGTCACTATAGTAGAGACCAACTTTGGCCTGCTGTAATTTTGTCAAGATGGCCACACACAAAAGCTCGCGGCGCTGCCTCACACCTCCTGCCTGTGTAGCAAAGGCAAGCTTCTTTTTGCAGCACGGCTCATCATTCCACATGCCTGTATCCTTCTCTCTCTGAATGTAGATCTCCACACAGTCCTCATCATTTTGCTTATTGTTTGGTTCCCCTGGAGCCCAGTTCATGTCTTCTTCAGTCAGGGGCTTCTGGGTTTCATCCCAGACCCACATGTTATTGATTTTCCTGATGCCTATCCAGTAGTAGCTCTTGGAGTAGCTCAGTATGAGATATTTGAGATATTTGACCTGTTTTTTATTTTGAATTGTCACCAGATGGGTGTACTTTTGTTGACAGTATGCCCTGGCCTCCTCATAAATCAAGGTTTCTGTAGAAGCATTTTAAGACCAGGCTCTGCTGTCTCTAATGAGAAGCACTAGAGGGATAGAGAAGGAATGGTAGACTTTGGCTCCTCTGTAGTTTAACTGTATTTATTGTGCTTAGAATTGTCTTAATTTTGCTATTTATGGCCTTTAGAATGACCCAAGTGCTTTCACCCCTTCCAAGAAATCAGAGGAACATATGAGAATTGCTATCATTTACTGTGTACAAATTTGTTATTGGCCTTCTTCTAGGTACTGTATCACAGTCAGTCATCCAAGCCTAACTGCACATTGAATTTACAGTAGACTGAGCTAATCAAATCAATGAAGCTCTAGAGAACCCTTAGTATATGTCACCAAGTACCACATAAAGCACTTTACATGAATCATAATATTGAATTCTCACAATGTCTAAATAGGTCACTTAAAAAAATAGGTCACTTATGACTAATACTTCATACCTGAGGAAATTATAACACTAAGAGGTAAAGAATATACTGTCCTAAAACATGTGGCCTCCTGCTAACCACCCTACAGTGCACAGGACATCCTCATTGTGGAAGGACATTCTGGTCCTCAGTGCCAATAGTGCCCAAATAAGAAAGACTAATCTGTCTGGTAACAACAACTTACCAAACATGGGAATGGAGAGAAACCATGGAGTATTCATGCCTTCAAACATTTTTTTCACTGAAGAATTAGACCTGAAATGTTTTCCAGAAAAGAAGATGTATAAAATGAATTATAGAAGGACATAGCAAGTGGCTTGTTACTCAACCCATTCTACAGTGATGTTGATCCAAAATCATATGATTTGAGCAAAGGGGTTCTAATGGAAGAGTCTGTATTACAAGGGCTTTTACCAGAATGAATAAAACATCGAGCATTTTCATTAGTTAGGTCAAACAGGAAAAAATATGGTATCAACTCTAATACAGTGAAAGGTTACAAATATATTTTAAATCTTCTCACATATCTGTTGTAGCGATAACTATGTATCATAGCCAAGGAGGCACTTCTCAAGAATTCAGTACTTACTGAGCTGCAAAGCAGATGTCTGGGCACTGCATGTCTCAGGTGCCTTGCTACTTCTGCTGCTGCTCTCCTGTGCTGTGCAGGAAGTTCTGGTGTGAAGTCAGCCAAGACCTCTGAGTATATCTTTGTAGGGCCCATTTATAAAGGGCTGGCTTCCTGTAACAGGAAGGTGTAGTCCAAAGCCAAAGAATAGAAAGGAGGTAGTCCAAATCCAAAGGACCGGATTTACTCTCCCTATAATAGGTAAAATTAGAGAAGATCCAAAGTAGAGCATGGATGTATAGGCACACAAAGAAATGTCTTTTGAAGAGTAGGAAATTCTTTGCACATTCACATTATTAAAGCTTTAAACAAATTTTAACATTTTGCACATACTGATATAATTTTAGTTCTTTATCCCATTTTTCTTAGCGGCTTATTGTTGCTGAAGAACTACAGAGGCCTAATTTCTCACACACTGTTCATTGAGATTTTTTGGGAGGATGTGAAGCTTGGCTCACTCATAACTTATATATACTGTAGTTCTAATAAATTATGAACATGTGATTAGCCATTGTCTTAAAAAGGGCACAGTGAAATGGCACTATAGTCAAATATACACATTTTCTGTTTTTTATTTTTTTAATTTATCTTTTTGAGACAAGGTCTTAAATTGTAGTTCCGGTTTGCCTGGAACTCACCTTGAACCCAGGCTAGCATTGAACTCATGTGAATCCCACTTCCTCACCTTTCTGAGTGCTAGGGTTATAGATGTAAACCACTATGCCCAGATTCTTGTATCAAAATCTCAAAACAAGATTTATCTGCTATATTAGTAAAATGTGTCAATAATTATTTTATATTTAAAATTTAACTTTGGTCAAAAATAATAGTAGATAATACATTTGTTCTTATGGATTGATGTAACAATTTTAAAAATTATCTCTTTTGCTTTTTACTTGCAAAGATATACAAAGACACACACAATGGTGATGTAGTGCCTTCATTTACAAATACTGCATTTGGCTCCTTATTCTCATCTCTAACATCTATGGAGTGCTTGCTATGTGCTACATCCTGGTCTGAGTATTTTACATGTCCATCTCTAGCATTATTTGATCCTCATCCATCTCATAATGGAATAGGCACTTGATTTCACAGATAAGGACTTTAATAAACAAGTTATCTCATTTATCACATTCCACAGCACAGCTAAGGCCTTGAAACTCAAGGCCCATCAGCTAATCCCCAGCTTGTGGTTTACTGCCTTTTTTTCTCCTGCACTAAGACTCCCTGATCTGTCTCCCTCTGTGTTCTCTTTCCTGAGACCTTTCTGGCCATGGCAGCACCCTCTGAGAGGGCTGTTGAGAGGCTGTCAATCACTTTTTGGCAGTGGATGGGGTGTGCTTTACGAGTGAAGTGACAAAGGAATTGAGTGAGGTTTCAATATCTGGAGGTGTCGAATATTATTATTATCATTATGATTATTTTGTATTTTAGGAAAGGGTCTACAGGATGTCCAGGGTCTCACTATGAGATCAGACTCATAGTGATCTGCCTCTTTACAACCTCTCAAGAGCTGGGATTACAGGCATGCACCACCA